TTTTTTTTTTTTTTTTTTTTTTTTTCTTTTATTGGTCTTAATTCATTACCATAATAATATCCATCTGCACGGCATGCAGCTAAGGAGGACATTTTTTTATTTATTTATTTATTTATTTATTTATTTATTTATTTATTTATTTATTTATTTATTTATTTTATTTATTTATTTTATTTATTCTCCTTTTTATTCTTCTTTTATTATCCTTTTATTGCTTTTATCTTATTATTCCCTTTATCCTTATTGTCCCTATTATGCTGCTGCTGCTGTTGCTGCTGTTGCTGCTGTTGCTGCTGCTGTTGCTGCTGTTGCTGCTGCTGTTGCTGCTGTTGCTGCTGTTGCTGCTTGTGTTGCTGCTGCCAATTCTGTTGCTGCTGATGCTGTTGATGTTGTTGCCTTTGCTACTTATGAATTTGTTGCTGCTGTTGCTGCTGCTGCTGCAGCATTACAGCACACACAGATGCTCTGCATGCACTGCAGCACGAACTGCTGCTGCTGCTGGTGCTGCTGCTGCTGTTGCCCGCTGTGCAACAGGAGCAGCGGAAGCAGCAACAGCAACAAAAGCTGCTGCTGCTGCTGCACGTTGACGACGTGCTGCTGCTGCTGCTGCTGCTACGTAGAGGAGGTATAAAGACACCAAAAAATTATAAGGAGATCTATTTATATAAATAAAATGACGTAAAAGAGAGAAAAGAAGAGAAAAGAAGCAAAAGAAGAGCTGCCTATACACCGCAGCAACTTTTCTTATTATTTATTAATAAATAAATACCCTGACAGCGTCTAATGTATTAATATATATAAATAATAAACAAAAAATAAATAAAATAAATAAAAGAAGAAAGAAGAAAAGAAATAAACTCCTTAAAAGCTGTCGATACACAGCCAAGCTGCTGCTGCTGCTGCTGCTGCTGCTGTTGCTGCTGCTGCTGCTGTTGCTGCTGCTACTGCTGCTACACATATGGTGAGCTGAACTACTTGTGCTGTAAGAAGAAGAAGAAAAGAATAAATAAATAAAAAATAAATAAAATATTTATTTTATTTAATTAATACAAACAAATACAATAAAAATATATCCTCTTCTTAGCTGCCTAGACACCCGAACCAGCAGTCATTCATATATACAGCTGTATAAATAAATATATATATACTGGGGCTGCATGCAGCAACAGAAGAAAAAGGAATAAATAAATAAATAAATAAATAAAATATTTGTTTTTATTTATTATTTATTATTTATTAATTCTTTTTATCTTTATTTTACTCATTTATTCAGATATGCAGACAATTCCTCAAGGATTAGTTCTTTCCATCAAGGGTTTAGGGTTTAGGGTTTAGGGTTTAGGGTTTACGGTGTACACGCAACTTTACCTCCCCCTTTTTCCTCGATATGTTTCTCCTCTTGTCTAACCCCATACAGAACTCCTCAAACCCTAAACCCTAAACCCTAAACCCCCAAGACCTCACCCCCCCCTAAACCCTAAACCCTATAGACCTTACCAAACCCTCTAAACCCTAAACCCTAAACCCTAAACCCTAAACCCTAAACCCTAAACCCTTAAAATGGCTCCATTTGTGAAGGGTTTCCCCCGTCCGCGTAGTAATAAGATGCGTTCGTTATATTCAATAGGGGAATTAATAAACCCTAATAATAAAAAAAGAAGACCTCCTCCTTGTTTATTAGATTCTCCTCCTGTCTCTCCTCCCCTTAAGAAAGGAATGCCTCAACTTTATGAACAATTTGATACTCTTAATAAACAAGTAAACCCTAAACCCTAAACCCTAAACCCTAATAAACCCTAATAAACCCTAATAAACCCTAATAAACCCTAATAAACCCTAATAAACCCTAATAAACCCTAATAAACACCCAAAATATTTCCCTATAGGGTAGTAAACCCTTTTTATGATTGAATATATGTATATAAATAATAATAATCAATTTATTAGGGTTTAGGGTTTAGGGTTTATGGATACAGGTATCAGGATTTAGACGTTATTATATAAAAAAAAAAATAAATAAATTAATAAAAAAAGAAATTAAACAAAATAATTTTTGTGAATTATTTGGCAAATTTAGATTCCATATACAAGGATCTTTTACAGGTCTCCTGCTGCTCCTGCTGCTCCTGCTCCTGCTGCTGCTGCTGCTGCTGCTGTTGCTGCTGTTGCTGCTGTTGCTGTTGCTGCTGCTGCTGGTGCTGGTGGTGCGGATGTGCTTCCTTCCTGTTGCTGCTGCTGCTGCTGCTGCTGCTGGTGGTGTTGCTGCTGTTTTAATGCTAGAGTGTGCAGCAGCTTAATTGCTGCTATTGCTGCTGTTAATACAATTAGCAGCAGCTGCAGCAGCAGCAGGAGCAGCAGGAGCAGCAGCAGCAGGAGTTATAATGTGTTAGTGTCTTATGCTGCATGCAGCAAATGGGGAAATATTTCGTGATAAGATGCTTCGGGTGTCTAGGGACCTTTTCCTTGTTGGTTGGATTAAATGCAGAAGCAAATTCGCCATAGGACATGTTAGCTTGCTGCTGCTGCTGCTGCTGTTGCTGCTGCTGCTGCTGTTGCTGCTGCTGCTGCTGATGGTGATGCTTCTGTTGCTGTTGTTGTTGCTGTTAATCAATATCTTTCTGCTTCTCTTGCTGCTGCTGCTCTTGCTGCTGTTGCTGCTGCACTTGCTGTTGCTGCTGCTGCACTTGCTGCTGCACTTGCTGCTGCTGCACTTGCTGCTGCTGCAGGTACAAGGAGACGTATACGCCTTATCTTATTTCCGTCGCTGGATGGAGAGACACGCAGAAGAAGAAATAAAAAAATGTTCTTTTATGGAGGAGACAATTGGTATACAACAACTAGATTATGAGTAAACCCTAAACCCTAAACCCTAAACCCTAAACCCTAAACCCTAACTAAACCCTAACTAAACCCTAAACCCTAAAAAAAATAATTGTAAACCCTTAACAAAATAACCATAAACCCTTGACGAATAAACAGTCATTAATTATTACTAAATTTATTTATATTTATATTTATATTTATTATTTATATTTATATTTATATTTATTATTTATATTTATTATTTATATTTATATTTATATTTATATTTATATGACGTGTGTAGTTTATAGTTACTGTAAACCCTAAACCCTAAACCCTAAACCCTAATTATGATGTTTCCCTGCAGGCAAATGGCTGCCGTCAATGATTACCGTAGTCCTGCTAAGAAGAAGTTGCATATGATCTTGGTAAACCCTATACCCTAAACCCTAAACCCTAAACCCTCAAGATAGTTGTCTCTTAACTGTCTCCATTTGTTTCTCTTTTGTGTCTCTTTTGCTGCTGCTGTTGTCTCTTTTATATATTATATGGGTATATACTGTCTCCTCTTGCTTCTGCTGCTGTTGCTGCTGCTGCTGCTGCTGCTGCTGCTGCTGCTGCTGCTGCTGCTGCTGCTGCTGCTGCTGCTGCAGGCAGCAGAGAGGCAGAAAGCTGCAAAGATGCAGCAAGAGAGCCAAAAGAGAGCAGCAGATTATCTTGAATTCCTTGATAAACATTGTCTGCAAAACTACTAAAGGCAGCAGCAGCAGCAACAGCAGCAAGAGCAGCAGCAGCAGCTGCTGCTGCTGCAGCCACTGCAGCAGCAGGCGATTGCTTGGCATCGGGGGAGACATGTTTGTGTTTCTTGCTCGAAGGGAAGACGTGCAGTATCCAGCTAGCTAGCTAGCTAGCTAGCTAGCTAGCTAGCTAGCTACTTAGTCAGGTAGTTAGTTAGCTAGCTAGCTAGCTGCTTAGTTGCTCACGTAGCTATCTGGCTAGTTAGCTAGTTAGCTAGCTAGCTGCCTATCTACCTGGCTAGCTAGCTAGCTAGCTAGCTAGCTATTTACCAACTCCTCTATCTATGGAGACACCTGTACACTACAGCCAGTTAGCTAGCTAGCTCACTGGCTAGCCGGGTAAATACATGGCTAGCTAGCTAGCTAGCTAGCCACGCAGCTAGCTAGCCAGCGGACTAGGTAGCCAAATAGCTAGCTAGCCAACTAGCTAGCTAGCCAACTAGCTAGCTGGCCAACTAGCAACTAGCTAGCTAGCTAGCTAGCAACTAGCTGGCTAGCTAGCTAGCTATTGGTGGCCCTAAGTGTTGGGCACCGTCAGATTTGTCCGTAGAGATTTCTGCCACACACTTGAGGCAGTACCTCTCGAACTCAGCAGTTGCTGCTGCTGCTGCTGCTGCTGCACCAGCAGCAGCAGCTGCTGCTGGGGTTGCTGCTACTGCTGCAGCAGCAGCAGCAGAAGGATTTTCGCGTTGCACTTTGTGGATATCTGCAGCAAAAAGGAAACGCAAAATAAATACACCATGAAGTGTACAGACAGCTACACTCTTGTTACTGCTGCTGCTGCTTGTGCTGCTGCTGCTGCTGCTGCTGCTGCTGCTGCTCACCTTTAAGGATTTCAGCCTTCCGTTTGCTCCATAGACGGCCGAGTTTTGCCTTCGCCTCTGCAGAGACAAAACCCTAGGGTCTAATTAGGGTTTAGGGTTTAGGGTTTAGGGTCTTGGATTGCGGCCCCCCACACTACCACTATGTAAGAGAAATTAGGGTTTAGGGTTTAGGGTTTAGAGGCATTCTTACCTGCAGGCAATCCGCTGGCGGGTCCTTTGAGGGTTTTGTTAACTATTTCGCGCATCCTTGCGTCAGCAGCAGCAGCTGCTGCAGCAGGAGCAGCAGAAGCTGCAGCAGAAGCAGCAGATGCAGCAGCAGAAGCAGATGCACTAATCGATCCAGCAGCAGCCTCAGCAGCAACAACAGGTAAAGCAGCAGCAGCAACAGCAGCAGCAGCAGCAGCAACTCTTGGGGGGGTTAGGCTTACTACTACTATCATTGGGGGTGTGGGGCCCCAGGGGGGGTCGGGGGAGCCAAGGATTAATTATGCCATTAATTAATGCATTATTAAGTAATTGAATCTGTAGGACAAAATAATTATAAATAATTATTTTGAGGGTTTAGGGTTTAGGGTTTAGGGTCTAGGGTCTAGGGTTTGGGGTTTAGGGTTTAGGGTTTACCCGACTTGTTGTGTCGCCTGGAAGCATCCAAAGAGGTGGACGCGAACGCCAACCACCACATGTGCTGCTGCTTTTGGTGCTGCTGCTGCTGCTGCTGCTGCTGCTGTTGCTGCTGTTGTTGGTGTCTCCGTCGCACGTGGTTCTGTTGCTGTTGCCGTTGCTGCTGTGACTACTGTTGTTGCTGCTGCTGTTGGTTGCTTGTGTTGCTGCTGCTGTTGCTGCTGCTAGGTCTCTAGCAGCATTATCTTGCTGCAGAGCAGCAAGATGCGCAGCAACAAGAGATGCATGCAGCCCCAAACGACGAGAGATGCAGCAAGATAATGGCGTATACACCCAAAGCTGGATAAACCCGCAACCCCCTGCATGCACACAAACCCTAAACCCTAAACCCTAATCTCCGGACAATACACACAGCTCGCTGCGTATGCATGCACAGAGAGGCGGGGGGTAATAAAGACAAAGGAGGGGGGTTATTATAGGGCTTCAAGCTGAGGGTTTAGGGTTTAGGGTTTAGGGTTTACCGATTAGGGTTTAGGGTTTAGGGTTTGTCTTACAAGTTCGTGCAAGATTAAAGAAGGGTTTACGGAAGGAAGGGAGATGATGTGTATCATCAATCAGCAGCAGCAACGGATAATGTTTTTCCCCCCTGCTGCTGCTGCTGCTGCTGCTATTGCTGCTGCTGTTGCTGCTGCTGCTGCTATTGCTGCAGCAGCAAGCAGCAGCAAACTTGCATCGTCTTGCTGCATGCGCCCGCAGCAGCTCCTCAACAAGTTGTGGGGCTTTACGTCTCGCTGCCTTCCAACAACCGGGATCGAAAGGAGACGATCCCGATCCCGGAGGAGACGATCCCGATCCCAC